AAAACAAGCCCAATATTTTTTGATAATTTATTATCATCAGTATTTATTATCAATTATTTATTACCAATAAATGAGCCCGCAACATATTAAACTGAAACTACCCTTTTATCTGAAAAGCAAAAACATAAGTTATTTTACAAAAATCAGCAAACTGCAACAAAGCAGGAACAAAACTCATCTCCGATCACATGCGAGCAGAATAGGATTGAAGAGATTGAAAAGGAAAAAAACACAAGAGCTTCAAAAGGGAGCTGTAACATAGCCACATATTTATAGCCTACTAAAATATTGGCTATTCGAACCAAATCTACTCTTAGTATTAGTATAGGCCTACTTGTTTTTTGTTTTTTAACAGCCCGTGATAATTAATACATTACAAAAACATTGTAAAAATTAAAAATTAGGCTACCTTATAAAGGAAAAAAGTAATCCCACTCCTCTACGTCTACTATCATTGCTTGGATTACAGCGTCACCCTCATTGAAGAAAAATCACGTTCAAAAAGCGGCGCGTGCGGAGGGGGCAGAATATTTGACAAATTACGCTACAGCACTTATATGTTTGCACTGATTGGCTATTAACTGTGAGCAGAATGCATTGGAGAATACAGTGAACATAGATGAAAAGAAAAGTTGCTTGTCAGGTTTTCCTAACAAGCAACCATGTTTTTTAAAATAAGCCCAAATAACCGCGACCTGGGATTTTTTTTCACGCAACTTTACAAAAAAAGAAGCCCAAAGTCGCGTATAATACCCCCCAAATGTAATTGCAGGGGAAACACTGCATTTAATAACGTTCATCTGTAGTTTAATGGGCAGAACTACATCTCCCATGATGCACCTCACCTTGTTTCTCAAGGTGAAAAACAAGGAAGCCTTTATTCACCCCCCGCAGCTGTGTGAGGCACTTTTTTATGATGGATGGATGCGCTTTATTGGACTTCTTTTGGACTATTGAAAAATAGCACCCATTCACTGCCATTATAAAGCTCGGAAGAGCCAGGATATTTTTTAATATAACTCCGACTGTGTTTGTCTGAAAGGAAAAACAGTACACCTAGGATGGCTTGAGGGTGAGTAAATGATGGGGTCATTTTCATTTTTGGGTGAACTATCCCTTTAAGAAACTGATTTGATTCTGAATTAGAATCAGTTTTCAGCCCGACTGATATTAGGCTGGCTCAGAGATACCATTATGGTTTTTAATCAGTTTTTATTTTATTTGAACTTTGTTGTGTTTGTCTTTTTTGTAGTATGTGAATATATTATATATATATTCTGTATATAGCCTATATATAGACTTGATGTACTAAAATAACTGAAATAAAATGTTATTTTAGTTATTTTAGTATATCAAGTCTAACTAACATCAAGTTCACAGTCTGCTGGTATCAGTGTGATTTTATGGGTATGCCGCAGTGTTAAATTCGTTGACGATTATTTTTCGTCATAATTTTCGTCAACAACATTTTTTTCACCAATGACAATGAGACTATAACGAACTAAAACTCTTTTTGAATGACAAAAACTATGACGTAAATCTATTGACATTTCGACGCAAGAGAACTCTATTCGGTCCGGTTTTCTGAGCGCAGACACTGAGACACACACACACACACACACACACACAGAAAGCGCCTCTCACAGCGCGCGAGTACTCTTTCTCGTCGCATGAATGGAGAATTACACACAAAATGATGTCGAATTGTCCGTTTTGACGAGTATTCACGTAAACACAGTTGATTACGTCTTAAGTGAACGTAAACAGTAGGGAGAATGTGTATCAGGACATTGTATCCATTGCAGCTGTGCATTCGGTTTTAAAGGGACAGCAGCCTAATTTAGTTGTTATTGTCCGAGTCATTGATGTTAATCAAGCAACAAAAGAGAGACAGAAAATAACGCACTGCTCTTGACTGAAAAACTTTAGTAGCCCTAAAGATTTAATCTAAATTTATTTATAGAAATAAATATGTCTGCTTGAAAGAATGAAGAATATGGTAAACAAGTTGCTATAAAGAATGCATAATTAGCCTATATAACCATTGGTATTTCATTAATAAGAAGACCATGTCTTTGAAGTGGTTTTATTTAATTTTAACATAAAGGCATGTTGTGTGTCACCACAGTTAAATCAGTGTCTATCATAAAACCTTAATATCAAACCTATATAATGAGTTTGGACATTTTAGAA